GATGCTCACAGCCTGGGAGGATTAATAAACATGCATACAATCTATTTTCACTGGGTCTGAGTGGTGAAGGGCATAGATCCAGAATTTCCCACTTGGACGTTTTACAGGCTACAATCAAACAATTTGAAGAAGCATTTTAAATTGAAAGGTGCTATGTAAACTTAGGTTATGATTAATTAATTTGCTTCCTATCTGCCTCTTGGATTTAATTGGCCATATGAACTGCTAGACTGTTTTATGAGACACATAAGCAGATGGTAAAAGTTTAGTAGAATAAATGTTACATCTAAGTTTTACTACTCTACTTAATCTTTAAGCGATGCATCCCCATTTCCTACAAATGTGGAAGGAGGAGAGAGAAAACTCACAGTACTGGGCAGCAACAGGTGGCAAATCAGTAAGAATCTAACAGGACATATTGTGAGCTTGAGGTTGTGGTCTGACTGGGATGAGGAGTGGATCAGACAGAGAGCTAAAAGGGAGATGGGGCAGGGGGTGTGCTACAGAAAGTCTAGAAAGCTCTCCTCCTGGGAGGCTGCAGAATAACTCAGGTCAGAAGGGGAAGGAATGGGAAGATTGAGACAGTGGAAAGGAAACCCAGAGCAGAATTGAGAATGAGCTGGCTCAACTGAATGGACTCCTAATGGCCAGGCAGCATCTGCCTTCTAGCTGGGGAGGGTAGAGAGAGATCAGGCACAGAAGCATCAGTGTCCTTGCAGTGTGGTTCTACTGTGGACAAACTACACAGCGTGTACATGCTCCCTCTCAGAAAAAAAATAACACAGAGTTACTACTTATAGAAAGCAAGAAACTGCAAGGTATGACCCAGAATCAAAGCATTAGCAGTAACTAGAAATGGACCCAGGCCAAGATGCTGGACTGAACATGATGCCAATGTAGCATACACAAATATAACTAAGGAATTAAAGGAATTAAATACACACACACACACACACACACACACACACACACACACGAATAATGATGACAGGAGCAATTTCAGAATTAAAAAGTGATATAAATAAATGCACTAGACAAAGAAACAAGAATGAGTCCGTCGTCCACTAGCCCCTCCCCTCTCCTCCCCAGCACATGTGAATGCCAGGCAGGCTTCTCTGTGTAGCTCTGGATATTCTGGAACTTGCCTCTGCCTCTAGAGAGCTGAGATTAAAGGTATGTACCATCATTGCCCAGACTGAAATTAATGAAGTTTAAGAATGTTTTGAAATAAAACAAACAAACAAACAAACAAACAAATCCAGAACATTCTACCTCCTTTTTGGGTTCCACTTAAAAGGACTTTTACAGAGAAACATAGCTTAAACACAGAATGAAGAAACCCTGAACATCAACTGACTTAGCTTCCAACTTAAAGAGCTAAAAATGGGCTGGAAAGACAGCTCAGTGTGGATACTCTCTGCTCTTGCAGAGGGCCTGGGTTAGAGTCCCAGCACTCACATAGCAGCTCACAATCATCTGTAACTCCAGTCCCAGGGGATCTGATGCCCTGTTTGGTCTCTGAGAGCATACATGTGGTGCAAAGACATTCAAACACACCTGATATAAAATAAAATGCAAAGGAGGAGGAGGAGTCACACACTAACCAGGAGGGAGGAAGACAGTGAAGGTCTGAATGGAACAGCTAGCCTTGGGACAGCTCAGCTTCGTAGGTGCTTGCCTCCTAGTGAGGTCCTGAATTTAATCTCCAGAACTGCCTGTAATCTCAGCTCTGGGGAAGCCTGTTGGTCAGTCAGCCTTGCCTACACAGTGAGCTCCAGGCCAAGGAACAAACAAAAGAGGTAGCTCTTGTGGAAGCACAGCTGAGTTTGTTCTCTAGTCTCCACAGGCAGCTGTGCATGGTTCATATGTGCCTCTACACGAGCAACATCCACATACTCACACACACACAAATATAAACTGTAATTTGTAGACTGACCAGAGAAGACATAAGTTATTAAAACTAAGGATAGCCAGGTGTAACTGAGAGCTTTTTCCACCCAGGCATGAGTTCCCTAAAATAACGACTCTGAGACTTCTTATATATGAATAAGTGCATAGGCCATCAGCTTTGGCTCTGTTCCCCAGCCTGCTCATAAGTTAATTATCCATTGTTCTATCCTAAGTTATGCCACATGGCTGGTGACCTGGTCTTCAGGTTTATGCAACTGTCTTCTCACTGTTTGGGGAAAATCTTCCCCACACCTTTCTCTATCCCAAAAATTCAATCCCTCTCTACTGGATGTTCCACCTTCTAATTCTGCCTCAGCTCTTTGGCCAAAGACTTTTTTATTGACAGGTGAAACTTCCATACATTGTACAAAAGATCCCTCTACAGCCAGGCATGATGGTGCATGGCTTTAATCCTAGCATTTGGGAGGCAGAGGCAGGTTATCTCTGTGAGTCTTCGAGGCCAGTTTGGCTTACATAGCAAGTTCCAAACAAGCTAAGGCTGCACAGAGAAATCCTGTCTAAAGGGAAAAAAATGTGTACATGTGTGTGAAAGAGCTGGGGGATGGTGGCACACTCCTGTAATCTCAGCACATGGGAAGAAGAGACGAGAGTCACTATTAGGTGTTCTCATCCATTAGGATGTATGTCACAACTTTGTCTTAAAAATATAAGGTGTTATTATGAACTCTGGAAAATAAAAAGGAATCATATATTGTCATGATTAAATTGTTTTGAGATCATGTATATGAACCAGGGTAGCCTGGAATTCCCTAGGCCCCCAGGAATGACCTTAAACTTCTGAGCCTCCTTCCACCTCTGAACGCTGGGGTTATAGGTATGCACCATCATACTTGGTTTTATGCAGTTCTGAGGAATCAAACCCATGGCTTCATGTATGTAAGGCAAGTACTCATAAGCTGATTTATATGTAATTTTGTGAAATTATCAACTCAGAGGAACCAGTTTCCCAAAAACACACACATAAGACTAAAACTGTCAAAAAAAGAGAGATAAAAACCAAAACAAACAAAATAACAACAAAGAACAGAAATGAAAAAAAACAGAAATGCTACAAATCGAGTTTGAAGTCAAAATATCATTAAAAAAAAAAAAACCTCAGAAATACATCCCCCCCCTTTATTCCTCTGGTAGAAACAGTTGTTCTAGTAAACCTGTGAGTTCATTATCATTAGAAAGGTAACAACATGGCTGACAGAGCAGCCTGTACAGTCCTCATCCAAAAAAAAAAAATGCTACAAGAGCCTCTTGTGAACTCTCAGAGCCAGACTATTCCTTCAAACCAAGTCTCCATTACTGCATAGTACTTATGGGTATAAAATGATGTGTCTACACAGGAGTGACCATCACAGGAAAGATGGCATGTTTTCAAGGAGATAATGGTTTTGTTTTTCCCATGGAGGTGCCCAATTGTGTGTGAAACAAAATGAAAGCCTCTGCAGGCTCTGTGCACATGATACAATGGAGAACTTTAGTTTCTAGAAGGGAATCTTTTCCAGATGCTTGAAGTCTGAATTAGGTGCCCTCTGCTACTCTGATACCAAGGGGAAATGGAATCTAAACACAACAAACAGCTTGATACCAACAACAGAGCATTCCATTTGGAATCAAACCCCACAGATAATTATGATGTGGTGACCATAGCTATGTGTGAGATATGTATCTGGTTAGCTTGGGACACTTTTTTTTCCTTTGGTAAGTGGTAAGGGGTGAAGTCAAAGAGGTGGGCTGGAGCTGGAGACTAGAAAACAAAGAACAGAATTTGGATGTTTTCCTAAATGTGCTAGGAAATTATTAAAGAGTTGGCAGAAACACACATAGCATAGACAAGAAAAAACAAAGATTAAACAAACACACACCATTGTGGCTGCTATGTAGTCTAGACAGAAAATTAAGAAAACTCTTAAAAAAATTGTGATAAGGATTCTGAAGTGTGGCTCTCTGTAACTGATGGATTCTGGCAACGGTACAGACTGGAGAGGACTAGGAAGTGAGTGTAACCAGGGTGCATTATGTGAAATTCCCAAATAATCAATAAAAATGCTATGCTGGAGAAAAAAAGAGGCAGAGGAAGCTTGAGCAGTGCAGTGTGCACATTCCACCACTGAGTTTGTCCCTGGCCCCTTTATACTTTTAAGTTTGAGACAGGATCTTGTTAATGAATTATGGCTGGCTTTGAATTCTCTTTGTAGCTCCAATAGATCTTAAACTATGGCAATCCACCTGCCTCAGATTCCTGGGTTGCAAAGATACAAGCTTGTTCCATCAGGCCCATCAGAAACTCTTGTAATGTTCTTGACAGCTTTGAGGCAGGCATTATGACCTTCATTTTCTTTTATTTCAAGGCAAAGGAACATTAAATAACTTGCCTAAACTCATTCTTCTGAGGCCAGGATGTCATTTAATCTCTAGTCACCCGAATCAACCCCAAGCTGCTGGCAGAAGAGCTAAACTTTCCACCTGGGAGAAGATGAGAAGATCTGAGCTGTATACTACTGTGCAGCACTGTACACTACTGTGGAACTGTGCTTGCTAAACTCCTTAATGACTACGGGTAGAAATGAGGAGCAAGGAACCGGTGATACCTGGCTTTGGCTTAAGTAACAGTGAGTTGGTGGTGTAAGTATGCAGAGAAAGCACCCAGAACATTGCAACATCTGAAATTTGAACAAGAGAAGGAACCATCACAACACCCATGGCTGAGTAGGAAAACCAGGAGGGAAGTACAAGTCACTTAAATGGCCTAGAGTTCCAAGGAACGAGCAGGAGGCTGTGTGAGACTGTGCAGGTGAGGCTGGGTGCGGGGCTTCATACAGTGGAGGGTGCAGGAAGGCTGCTTCCGGGCAGCAGTGGTGAGGTTTAGTTCAAACTCCCACTGTCCAGCCATAAGGCTTAGAAAGAACAGTCAGTATATGCATTCAGGACAATGAACAGAAATGGTAAACTAACTAACTCAAAGGGCTTTCTTTCTGTCTTTTGAGAAGGAGCAAATTTCACACATCCTTCTACCTTTTGTCTCCAGCTTCACATACCGTGAGAGATCCATTCTGGTTGCTGGGTGAATTGCTACTCTGTTCTCCATGAGGCTGTGTACTCCCGTAGAGCGTCAGGTTATGTTCACTGGTCTGGCCTGCATAGTCCTGAGTGTGTGGCACTCCATATTCTGTGGGAATTCCATTCTGTGGAGGAGGTGGGAACGGGATGGTAGTAAAAGGCTGAACCATTGCGTCAGGAGTTGTTGTTGGCTCCTGGTTACCCTAGAGTAAGCAACAGAAGAGAAAGGAGAGTGAGTGAATAAATCTTTATCATACAATGACTTTCAAGGTAAGTACACAGGACTTTTGGTATGCTCTGTCACTGTTCCCCACTCAGGAAAAAACTGCTGGGATCATCAGATAACTTTCATTCTTAAAAAGAAAATGAATGGACTAACTTAATTTTATGTGTGTTTTGCCTGTGAGCATTCTGGAGGTAGGAGGACAACTTGATTCCACATCCTCCTTCAACATGAGTCCTTGGGATCAAGCTCATATTTGGTGACAAGTATCTCTCTTTACCTCCCGAGCCATCTTGATAGCCAAGAGTTTAATATTTGATCATCTCTTCCAAACCATTTGGTGCTCTGCCTATACCCATAGTTGACAGAACATACTGCTTCCAAGGCCAACACTGATTAGCATGAAGACAGGTGTGCAACAGACAAAAATTAACCTTCATGTAGACTATTAGATGAGCAGAGCCTAAGGCCTGCATTTCAGAAATCTTCAGAAAGGGTCTATTAAAAAACACACGAAGGGCCGGGCAGTGGTGGCGCACGCCTTTAATCCCAGCACTTGGGAGGCAGAGGCAGGCGGATTTCTGAGTTTGAGGCTAGCCTGGTCTACAGAGTGAGTTCCAGGACAGCCAGGGCTACACAGAAAAACCCTGTCTCGAAAAACCAAAAAAAAAAAAAAAAAAAAAAAAAAAGATCCTGTCTCAAAACTAAGGTGGAAAGCAACTGAAGAAGACACTGTATGTAAACTTACAGCCTCTGTGTGCATTCACATATACAGAAGAACATCTGTGTGTATGCACCTACAAACAAACATACATGCATGCATGCATGCATGAGCACACATGTACAGCAAAAAAGATGTATGAAAGCTGTCACCTGGGATCCTGAATAAAGAGGCCTATTAGATCTGTTGGCACAGTGAATTTTGCCTATGTCTATGACAAAAGGAACAAAACATGTACATAACTGTTACCAGGGCTGGGGAGATGGGTCAACAATCACTACATCTGTCTTCCAAATGTGAGTGTCCAAGTTTGGAAACTCAAAGCAAGTAATAGATGGTTGTCCTGGTGGCTTGAAAGCATAGACGGATCCCTAGAGCATGCTGACTAGCTAGACTGGCCCTGTTTGCAAGCTCTAGGCTTGAGTGTGACCCCACCTTAAAGGATACAGTGGAAAAGCAAGTGAAGAAGACTCCTGACATTATTCTTGGACCTTCACATGTACACATGTGCATCCACACAGATATGTGCATCTCCCACTTATTAACACATACAAACCTATGATGCACACCATATATACATATACATAAAAAAGAAATAAAATCTAGACTCAATTTAAAAAGTAGTTTGTAAGGCTGAAGAAATAGCTCAGCACTTGAAAGCACTAGCTGCTCTTCTAGAAGACCCAAGTACAATTCCCAGCACTTACAAAGAAGGTCACACCTGTCTGTTAATCCAATTTCAGGGGACCCAACACTTCTTCTTGCCTTCCACAGACACCAGGCACTCATGGTACATGTACAGGCAAAATGCCCATACACATAAAATATCCCATAGGCAGTTTATAGAAGAATGATGAGGCAAATGCAGAGAAGTAAAACAGCTACTTAAACACGGAAAACAGAACATCAGTGATGCACTAGATTCACAGCAAATCAACTCTGGCCTCAGCCATACTCAAATCTACTGTGCTACCCTTAAACTTCTTTAGTATCTAAAATATTCTATTTTTTTTTTAAATCTGAAATCAGTCAAATTACCTAATATACTCTTCATATTTTATTTACTTTCTTTTTTATTTTCTATCTATTTTATAACTGTCTGAAAAATCCAGAGTATGGTTTTCTTGCCAATATCAAAGTTCTAAAACCTGATACACACAGTGGAAGTGCTGGTGTTTAATTCTAAAATATTTCTGGTAAAGCTTAGAGAAGAGTAATTCTACCCAAAGATGTAAGATGTTAGATAACCTGAAGAGCTTTGGAGACATAGCCATAAAACTTAATTTTTACATCTGGGTGAAAAACTTGAGTTCCTCCTCCTCCTCCTCCTCCTCCTCCTCCTCCTCCTCCTCCTCCTCCTCCTCCTCCTCTTCTTCCTCTTCCTCCTCCTCCTCTTCTTCCTCCTCCTTTTACTTATGTTTTTGATACTTGCTAAATAAATAGCTGGGATCCTTAAAAGGGTCAAGATCAGATGAAATGATTATATAATAAAGTGTCTACTAACAGAAAAATCTATTACCACTTAACGGAATTATTATTTAATCTCAACCAAGGATCTTTCCCTGCTGTGGTTTCAAGAGTCAGCTAGAACACTGACCCCACAGATCAGGAACCAGTGTCACATATCCAGCTCTCCACTTCTACCTCTTTCCTGACAGCAGGCATGTCCATATTTTATTGGCCTACTCAGGAACTGTTTAAAAACCTAGGGCTGCCATCCTTCCCAGTCAGGCGGCATTGGTGGGGTGCGGTGGCTGACGCTTTCTGTTACTCAGGAGACAGCAGCAGCATTTCCCCAGAGAGCACCTGCCAGCATCGTGCTTCTACAAACGATGGCTGTAGGAGGAAGGCAGCAGCAACTGCAAAAGCACACTGCCTGCAGCTAGAGGACCAGCTTCTTAATGGTGCCTACAGAGGGAAGAGGCACTATCTTTTCCCAAAAGTGCAAATGTACTGAACAGCAGGCCTAAGTGTCTTAGAGAACCAAAGACTGGACCTAAGTAAGGTCAAGTATTTCTTCCAGGTGCAGTGCTGAAGGCACCAGAGCAATCTCACACACTTGTAAACAGTTAATACAATAAAGATGAACAGCTAACATACTGCATGTCCTTCCATACTTACAATTAAAATAAATGACAGAAGTTGGTCTGAATCAACATTCTCCCCCCCCCACCGCCTTTTGACTTACTCAGATGACAAAAGTGACAATATAAACTTCTCTCCTGAGGCTGCACTTTGCTATCCACATATCAATGAATATTTAAACAGTAAAATAAATATTTCAGAATAAAGCTATCTGAACCAATAGTCTCTTAGATTAAAAGTGGCAAACTCTGTAACAGTTCTCCAAACTCTTCAAAGTTCTCTTCCACTTCCCTTTACAGCAGCACTCAGAGACCAAACATTCATGGACCATGGTTTCCATTAGCTGCAAGACCATCATCTTTGGTTCTGCTGTCACCGGGTGCTTGGAAACAGAAGCCTCTCCTCACGCCTTCCTGTGGGTTACAAGTCTAGTCTTGTCAAGATGACTGATGGTTTATGCAATCTATATATGATTATCACTTTTTCAAACAAAATTCCCACTACAATTTAACTTACTATTTTTCTTCATGGATAATTAACTTTACATTCTTCATATGTTAAAACTGGAATATTATTAGGAATAGTAACAACTCTGGTTCAGAATAAAACACTGTGTCGGTCCTCAGAGTGTCTTCAGAATTATAAAAGAACTATGTTTCATGGGCAGTGCTCTCCTGTAACCAATTTCTTCATGATGAGGAAAAAAATTATAAGATACGGCCGGGCGGTGGTGGCGCATGCCTTTAATCCCAGCACTTGGGAGGCAGAGGCAGGCGGATTTCTGAGTTCAAGGCCAGCCTGGTCTACAGACTGAGTTCCAGGACAGCCCAGGCTATACAGAGAAACCCTGTCTTGAAAAACAAAACAAAACAAAACAATTATAAGATACATACATAGTAAGTGGGAAAAAATCTTCCCTATTTCTGTTCTAGAAAAAAAAATGCATGTGTCTACAGTCACAGTTCTATTCTGGTTTGGACATTCTCTATTTTGCAAGTGAAGTTTCTAAGTTGGTCGGGAATGAACTACAGACTTCTTCACTCTAAGTTCTTCCCTGAACAACGTGTGGGCTGATGGGCACACAGTAGCATTTTAGAGAATGCTTACTAAATTGATCCTTTACTCTGAAGCACCATCTGTAAAAAAGATGGACAACTTCTCTTTCCTATCAGATCAGGAAGGAGCTGAGTTATCAGCTGTACTAGAGTTGGCATAATCACTGGAAGCTGAGCATCCTGGAAGTTGTCTTAGGTACTATGGGAGAATGAAAAGACAAGTGTGGGGGCTGGGAATGTACACAGAGTTTGAGGCTAGCCTAGGCTACATGAGACTCTGTATCAAAAATAGAGGCCTAAAATGATGAGTGTGGCTAGGAGTACAGACTGCTCTTACAGAGGACCTGTGTCCAGTTACCATACTGTTATAACTGCTTGTAACTTCAGCTCCAAGGGACTAGATGCCCTCTTCTAAATTCCAAGTCTGTCTGTCTGTCTGTCTGTCTCTCTCTCTCTCTCTCTCTCTCTCTCTCTCCCTCTCCCTCTCCCTCTCCCTCTCCCTCTCCCTCTCTCTAAAATTTAAACCTCAACTTTTTTTTAAAACAAGCTCTGCTGTGGACAACCACCAGTGACTAGCCAGTCCTTGCCCTTGAGTTTTCTTTTTAGTAGAGACAGAAAAGTAACTGAAAACAAGCAAAGCAAAGACCAGGTGGACTGCCGGAAGGCAGGTGACAGGGGGACTTCTACCATCTGCAAGAGGCCAGGCAAAGTGACATCTGGTCTGGTCTCTTTGGAAATCAAGGCAGCAAGATGTCTGTTTGGCTGGAAGAATACTGAAGACAAAGGAAACACAGTATAGAGGTCCAGAACAAGAGACTCAGAGGCATGTAACCAGCCTGGAATAGATAGGCAAGGCACAGTGACAGGTGATGAAGTGAGGAAGGTGGTGGTGGGAACAGACTGACAGCTGGGAAGAGCGGGGAAAGCTGCAGCCCCTGGCATCTGTGGTCTAAGAAGAGAGGTGGTGTGGTGAGGCTAGATTGTATGTAGTTCTTTCTGCAAAGGCAGGAGCAAAGAGACCCATTTCAAACATTCTTCCCAAGACACAGTACCCACATGTTTAAAATCCTGAGAAGACATATCATCCTGTGCTGCCCCCACCCCAATTTCTGTACCAAT